AGCATTCAGTGCCTGATATTCCTGAGATGCAGCTGAGTATCTGGCCAGCCTGGTGTCAGCATCAGGCTTTCCTTAAGTGGCATGGCTTTGATACAGTCAGACAACATTTGGTCACAGAATGTTTCAGTTGTTTCTAAGAGTGGATGCAGAGTAGAGGACTTTTGAGAAGCCAGAGATGGGGCAGGAGGAATGACATGGAGGCTTTGGGTGTCGCTGTCCTGAGTCTGGTGATGGTGGCCGTCGTCCCGAGTCTGGTGATGACGGCCATTATCCTGAGCCGTCATCCTGAGTCTGGTGATGATGCTCTAATTCCTTGCAGAAAATTGATTTTTTTCCTGTCACGACTAATTTATCACCCTGGTCTCTCTTACAGCAGACAGAAATGATTGAGACAGATTACCTTGTGTGTGTGTGTGTGTGTGTGTGTGTGTGTGTGTGTGTATGTTCATGCACACATGTAGGTGTGCTTGTGTGTGAGTCTATACTTGAGCGTGTGAGGATAGATGTCAAAGTCAGGTGTCTTTCTCAGTCCCTCTCCAATTTGTTTTTTGAGATAGTATCTCTCACAAAGCCTGGAACTTCTCAATTGGCTAGACTGACTGACCAGGGATCTCCAGGGGCCTCCTGGTCCCTGCACCTCCACCTCTGGACTTACAGACTTGCAGTCTGAATGAAGAAAACAAATTAAGAGGGAAGGGCATGACTTCTCCTAGGAATGGTGGAGGAGACGTCTACCTTAGACACAAGGAAGAGCTCAGTCAGAGGCAGGGACCTCTGGGCGAGTCCAGAGTGGATAGAACCAGACTTGACTGGGCCATGTGAGGAGATTGGGAGGGGAGAAGGGAGAGGGGTGAGCCAGACCAAGAGGCCAGGAGGGTAAAGGGTCAATTATAGGGGTCAAAAAATGACCAACATAGCAAAACTGTTGGATTATATAGGGAAGGGTAGCCCAGTCCCAGGCTGGAGATATTTAGGGCAGGGGATGTACCAGCCAGCAGGGCTGGCCCTGTAGCTGGTAGAGACAGGGACACACGGAGAACCAGGTGGCCAGCGTCTGCTTTGATATGTTAAATAGACACCTAGGCCGTTTGTCCCTGACTTGAGATCTAACACGGTCACATCTGTGTGTTTTTAAAAATGGTTGCTGGGTCCTCTGCACTGAGATTTTTATGCTTGTGCAGAAAGAATTTAGCACTGAGCAATCTTCCCAGCCCTACAAAATAGGAAATATTTTGTAGAAATATTATTTGAAAGAGGAGGTGAGGAGGCTCAAAGTTTGCAATGGTATAGAGTTTTGGGCATGAAGAGGCTTTAAATACTAATATATATAATTATATATATATATACACTCTATATATTCTCTCCCTATATATATATACTCTGTATATACTCTCTATATACTCTCTCTACGTATATACATATGGATACATATATACACATATATAGTATCAAACCTAACAGGGAACATTAGTGAGACTGTAATAGACACCTTTAATGATCACTTGCAAATCTCATCACACAGGATTGTCAGAAGACGATAGAGGTTTTGAGATGAGCCGAGGGGGGCATGTTAGTGCCCAACTGCTGCATCCTCTTGTATTAGGAAGCACACAGAGAAGGCTCCAAAGGTTTGATTTCTTGGCCCAGCAAAATCCCCTCCCAAAGAATTTTCTATGACTTGGTGACCCAGGCCAGATCACATTCTTGCATATAGTGACTCACGAGGAAAAACAAGGCACAGCTGGAGTTTTGAGGGAAGCCTTTTGAGGAAGGGCGATCTTTAGCCAGTGAGTCATTGTGTACCCACAGAACTTCGATCAAGGCTCGGAGGGACTATTCTGTGCTGAGAACAAAGACACCAAAGAGAGAGTCACTGGGCGGAAACTGGGCTGGGAGAGGCCGTGTGGGGAAGTGGAGTCAGGAATGGAGTCAGGAAACACGTCCTGGCCCTAACTAGCAGTCAGGCGGAAGGACACGCAGCCGCTGGGAACAAACTCTGAACCACGCTCAGGTGAAACCGCTCAGAAGGTGTGATGTTCTTCGCAAAGAGACATGTCTTTCCTTTACGATCTTCACCACAGATTTCTACTCTCAAGTCTTTCCTAGAGCAGAGACGGTGTGGTTCAGGCAGCCTGTCTTTACCCTCCCTCCTCCTGCTCACAGTCTGCAGCAAGGACACCAGATTCCCCTGAAATGGGGGCATTGCATGGGACAATTTAATTCCAATCACAGGTCTTTTCCTAAGGCATTCAAAAGAGCACACGTTTCTCTGGAGATGGGCATTTTACTTACTCAGTTCTCTGTTCCAGACCCTCGGTAGCCAGTTGGGTTCCTGCAGACAGAGGCAGCGTCCACAATAGGCCCTCTGTGGAGGCACCCACTGGGAGACCTTGGCTCTAGCAAAGGCAGGCTTTCAGGGGAAACCGGGGCTGGGACTTGGCTGCCAAGAATTTAATGAATTACTTTAGATATTCTCTTGGGTGTTCAGAAATTTGAAAAAAAAAATCTGTGTATGGAGCACATGGCAGTGGGACATTGACAATCTGCTTCACACACTCAAATGTCTGTTACACACTTCTTTTATGTGTCTAAGTGCTGTTTAGGGAGCACACAAGGATTCCGATGAAGTCAACATGTACTTCTGAGTGAAAATCTCTGTAATTGGTATGCATCTTTATCATCGGTTTCCTTGGAAAATAGTCATATGATTGATAGTTTTGGAAAAGAGAAGTTTAGTGTTAAGATTTTTCCCCCCGAGACTAGTTAATGTGAAAGACCCCCGAAGGATGTCTTCCTAGCGAGAGAGGCCCCAAACCCACAAACCCGACGAAGCCACACTTACGGATGCAAACTGCAAGAGGTTTATTTGAATACACAGGTACCTGGGGCGGCAAGGTCTCTCGGAAGATTTGCGCGCCTCCAGGTTGGGGGTGAGGGGTTCTTATAGGAGAGCAAAAGCGCGGGTACAGAAGCAAAAAAGCGTGGTTATGGGGACTCATTTCATTGGTCAGTTTAAATAAGGCTAAGCTGAGTGGCACATTCTTGACCTTTCATCTAAATACCAAGGAGGGGGTTGTCCAGACCCACCTGGATACCAAGGAGGGGGTTGTGCTACCTGTTTTTCTTATCTCTTCCTGCCTTCCTAGCTGGAGACCTGATGGTCGACTGTAAACATCCTGACTCACATCCCGTCACAGGACAAAAGGCTCCCTTCCCCTCCCTTACAGCAAGGGGCCTGAATTGTTTATCTCTAAGGCCCTGCATTCCAGCATCAAAGGGTGGTATATTTCTCTTTTTCCTTTTCATTTCCCCATTTTTTTTTTTTTTTTTGAAAAAAAAAAACCTGTTATGCAAGTGTTTATAGGATCTCTGTTTCTCTTTGGTTTACTCTTTGGTATTGACTAGTTAAGACCAGGGCTTGAACAACCGAAAGTCTATCCTTAACAAATTGAATCAACCGATTTAAAATGTAAGGGCCGAACGTAAGAATTAACATTAAAAGAATTATGGGTCCCAATAAGGAAGAAATTAGGGTGGTGAGCCATGGAGATCGGTTCCAAAGCCCTTCGTACCATGTCTGCTGGGCTTCAAACTCTTTTTTACGTTTATCTAGCCTTTCCTTTAGTTTATCTAGAGTTTCAGTCACTACACCGGTTTTATCAGTATAAAAACAACATTCTTCCTTTAAAGCCGCACAAAGGCCTCCCTCCTTTAGAAAGAGCAGATCTAGTCCTCTTCTATTTTGTAGTACCACCTCTGACAGGGAAGCTACTGATTCCGTCAGGGTTCTAACCGACTTCTCAAGAGCCCTCAGGTCCTCATTCATAGCTTGATGTAAAAGCATATATTGGTCCGTGCGCACTAGAGCGGCGGCCCCCGTACCTACCCCTGCAGCAACACCCCCCACCCCTAGGAGTATGGCCAGGGTCAGGGTAATAGCTTCCCGTCTTTCCCTCCGGGGAAGGTATTCATAATATTGGAGGACCGCCTCATCTGAGTGGTACGTGATGCGCGGCCAAATTTGTACCAAGACACAATATTCATGCGTTTGGTTGAATACCATTGCCGAAACACAGGGGGTTAGGCCGGTACTACAGGCCCAGAGGGTCCCATTTGGTGGGACTAGATAATAGTTTCCCTTGATAACGGGCGCGGTTGAGATGCAAAAGGGCTGGCCAGACGCAGCTCCTATGCAAACTCCAGTACCTGTCACCTGGGTGAGGGTTAGATGATGGTTCATGCTCTGGCAGATGGGGGGTGGCGAGGTGACATTGCTATAGTTGCCCCTGAGAGCTATCCCCTCATAATATGGGGGACTTGGGTTAAGGCAGAGCCAGCAATCGTGGGCCCGATCTGGGTCCGAGTGATTCAAGGCCTGGTACGCCCCCCTAATGAGGTTCAAAAGACGATCTCCTGTTCCTCCCTCCGGCTCTATTGCGGCCGCTAGGGGGGCAAGGGTGGTGGCGGGAGCGGTAGTAAGGCTAGTCAGTCCAGGGGTAGCTGGCGCTTTGGGTAAAAATGGGGGTCTCTGATTTGCCAGGACCTGGTTGGGTCCTATCGCCCGGGAAACTATGGCCTCAGCTTTGAGCTGTATTTTGAAAGTCAACCCTCTGTCTGTCGAGTCCAAGTACCATCTGAGCCCCCAAGTATACCCTTGTTGCCATTCAGTGGCCTTTCTACCTTGTTCAGTGAAGGTGATATTGAGGGGCAAACATTTTCCATTAGTTCCACATTTGGAGAGCTGACAATACTCTGTAAAATACTCCTCATCCCATATCTCTCTCTTCCAGCCGCGGGTCACCCTGATCTTATCCCAGCTGGAATGGGGTTTCCAGTAGGCATCCCCAGTCGTTTCACATCCCCAAGCCGCACAGAACATTTCATTATATCCCCCACATTTGTAAGCCGTAGCTCGATCTCGGCCATCCCTGGGGCAGACATAAAAGCTGGCCTCTGCTAATCGACATCTTCGCCCGGGGTTGGAGCAGCCTACAGATCCTCCCCCCGTTGGCTGCATGTTTCTCGTTAATTGATTATAGTCGGTGGTGGCTATGTCCCAAGAGTCTAGTCCCGCAGCTAGCTGACAAAAATCCGGGGTGAGGGGAGGCCACCAGGTATTGAGGGCATGTTGGCCAGTCGTCTTCCAGACTACCTCCCCAGTCTGGGAAATAATCTGCCAAGTTAAGGAATAAACTGCGTGGGGGCTTCCATTAGGAGCCCCCATGGATCCCAAGATCAACATGGGAAAGACTACTGCCCATAATATCATTTTCGAACCAGTCTTATCTTTAAGGGGTTTTGGGAGCGTTGGATCTTCCATCCTTCCTTTTGGCTGGCTGTCTGTTGTTCTGAGCTGGCGGCTTTCACGTGTGAGGCGTGGATCCAGGCAGCAATTCCGTCCACCTTGAGCGCCGTTGGGGTGGTCAGGAGAACAGTGTATGGTCCCTTCCAGCGCGGTTCCAGGTTCTTAGTTTGATGTCTACGGACCCAAACAGTGTCCCCGATCTGGTACGGATGAGGTGCCACTGGCTGGTTAAGGTTGTCTTTGTAGGCGGCTGCTAGGGGTTTCCAGACCTCTTGTTGTACCAGCTGCAGGGCCTGCAAGTGGGCTTGTAGAGAAGGGGAGTTAGCATAGTCTGCAATGTCCGTGTCAAAGAAATGTATGGCTGGAGGCGGTGCCCCATATAATATTTCAAAAGGGGTAAGGCCATGTGGCCCGGGGGTGTTCCTGGCCCGATATAGGGCCAGGGGCAGGAGCAACACCCAATCCTTTAAGCCAGTAGCGAGCGTTAATTTAGACAAAGTCTCCTTAATAGTTCTATTCATACGTTCTACTTGTCCTGAACTCTGGGGTCTATAAGCACAATGTAATCTCCAATCAATCCCCAGTAACTTGGCCACCAACTGACTTACCTGGGAGACGAAGGCTGGCCCGTTATCAGATCCCAATACCTTTGGCATACCATATCGGGGAAAAATTTCTTCTAATAGCTTTTTGGCAACCATCTTAGCCGTTTCATGTTTGGTGGGATAGGCCTCTACCCATCCTGAAAAGGTGTCTATAAAAACCAGCAGGTACTTGTACCCATATAAGCCAGGTTTAACTTCAGTAAAGTCTATTTCCCAGTGGACACCGGGTCGATGTCCTCTGAGGCGTACCCCTTGGAGGGCTTTCGAGTGACCTGCATTGATTTGGGCACAGCCCCTGCAATTGTCTGTTGCCCGTTGGAGTGCCCTGTCCCTGTTCAAGAGGTATTGTCCAGTTTCCATTCTGTCTAGGAGGGTTTTCATTTTCTTCGTACCCAAATGGGTCAACTTATGTAAGTAGTCTATAAGTTCCTGGGTTATTTTTATGGGCACTGCTATTTTTCCCCGATAAATCCAGCGTCTATTCGCTGGGTTATATTCTGCCCCCAATTTTTGGAGTAGGTTTATGTCCTCTTTATCATAGGCCCAGTCTATTGTGGATTGGACGGGCTCGGATATTAGGGGGAGAATTTGTGGTCCCAAAGCAGCCTCTCGGGCCGCTTCATCCGCCCGCCGATTTCCTCTGGCCTCGGCGTGATCTCCTTTTTGGTGTCCGGGACAATGCATAATGCTCAGTCTCTTGGGGAGGAATAAGGCCTCTAATAGAGCAAGGATCTCTGCTTTATTTTTAATTTCCTTGCCTTTTGAGGTTAAGAGCCCTCGTCTCCGGTATATTTCTCCATGTATGTGTGCGGTGGCGAAAGCATACCGGCTATCAGTATAAACATTCAGCTTCTTACCTTCTCCCAACCTAAGGGCTTGAGTCAGAGCGATGAGTTCAGCTCGTTGGGCCGAGGTGCCGCTGGGTAAGGCACTGGCCCAGATTACCTGGGTCTCCGTGGTAACTGCAGCTCCCGCCCTGCGTTCTCCATTCAGTAGATAACTGCTCCCATCGGTGTACCAGGTGTGGTCCGCATCTGGGAGGGGCTGATCAGTCAAGTCCATCCGGGTTCCATGCATTTCCGCGAGGATCTGAAGGCAGTCATGCTGGTCTGGTCCTTCCGGTGTGGGTAGCAAGGTCGCCGGATTAAGGGCGACTACAGGTCCGAACTGGACTCGGTCCGTATCCAACAGCAAGGATTGGTAGTGGGTCATGCGGGCGTTGGAGAGCCACCGGTCAGGGGGCTGCCTAATCAAGGCCTCGACGGCATGGGGTGCCAAAATGGTCAAGGGCTGTCCCAAAGTCAGTTTGCCAGCATCCTTAATAAGGACGGCAATGGCTGCCACCATCCGTAGACAAGGGGGCCAGCCTGAGGCTACTGGGTCTAATTTCTTTGATAAGTACGCGACAGGGCGTTTCCATGGCCCAAGCCTTTGGGTCAAAACCCCCTTGGCATAACCTTGTTTTTCATCAACGAACAGTTCGAATGGTTTAGTGACGTCAGGCAGGCTCAGTGCTGGAGAGGACAGGAGGGCGCGTTTGATGTCCTCAAAAGCCTTTTGTTGTTTATCTGTCCATCCGAATGGTACCCCCTGCTTTGTGAGGGGGTAGAGAGGAGCTGCCATTTCTGCGAAGCCTGGTATCCATAAGCGGCAGAACCCGGCAGTCCCCAGGAATTCCCTCAGCTGGCGATGGTCTCGAGGTGCAGGTATACGGGATACAGTTTCCTTGCGTGAGGCTGTAAGCCAACGCTGCCCTTCTTTTAATTTATATCCCAAATAGGTCACCTCAGTCTGGCATATCTGGGCCTTTTTGGCAGATGCTCGATAGCCCAGCCGTCCCAGAGTTTGCAATAGGGCCCCCGTACCTTGTCGACAGTCACGTTCTGTGGAGGCTGCCAGTAGAAGGTCGTCCACGTACTGGAGTAGGATCAATGATGGGTGTTGAACTCTGAAGTCCGCAAGGTCCTGGTGCAAGGCCTCGTCAAAGAGCGTGGGACTATTCTTAAAACCTTGTGGGAGTCGGGTCCAAGTCAGTTGGCCTGAAATTCCCAATTCGGGGTCCTTCCATTCGAAGGCGAAAAGGGGTTGGCTTTTGGGGCTTAATCGGAGACAGAAGAAGGCATCCTTCAAGTCTAGCACTGTATACCAGGTGTGAGATGGTGGCAGGGTGCTTAGTAAATTGTATGGATTGGGGACGGTCGGGTGTATGTCTTCAACCCTCTTATTAACTTCCCTGAGGTCCTGTACTGGTCGATAATCCTCTGTCCCTGGTTTCTTTACTGGGAGGAGGGGGGTATTCCAAGGTGACCGACAGGGAATCAGAATACCTTGTTCTAATAGTCTCTTTATATGAGGTCTTATCCCCTGGTAGGCCTCATTCGACATGGGGTATTGTTTGACTGAGACTGGGGTGGCTGTGGCCTTCAGGTCTACGATCAAAGGGGGCTGCTGTAGGGCTAGCCCCATACCCCCAGTCTCGGCCCATGCCAGTGGGTACTCTGTAAGCCATATGTCCAAGTCTCTGGATCCTTGTGTCTTAGAGTCCTGCTCATATAGTCGGTATTCGTCTTCCAATTGTAAGGTCAAGACTTGGAGGGGGTTTCCATTTGGACCCGACACTCGAGCCCCTGCCCCCTCAAAGTGAATTTGGGCTTTCAGTTTGGTGAGTAAGTCTCGCCCTAGTAAGGGATAGGGGCAGTCTGGTACGTGTAGGAAGGAGTGAGTTACTTTACCAGTTGCTAGTTGTACCTTCCGTTCGGTGGTCCATCGATATCTTCTTCCGCCTGTGGCCCCTTGTACCCAAGCAGTTCGTTCACTGAGCGGGCCTGGTGACCGGGTAAGAACTGAATGCTGAGCACCTGTATCCACTAGGAAGGTAACTGGCTGCCCCCCGACATCGAGTGTTATCCTGGGCTCAGGGGGGGG